TGGCTTTGCTAGTGGTGCTAGACTCCTGTATGAGTCCCCATCATTATTATAACCAAAACCAAGCGCTAAACCCATGAGAGTTCCTAGTTCCCAAATACCAGTATTAAAATTCTGATAAATTCTTACGATACATCTAATATTTCAGTTGGAAAATGTACGAAAGGGTTTGCAACAGTATGTTTATCATTGAATACCTCGAGTGAAAGGGTTTACAAAAGTTAATTTGTATTGTATTTGGGGTAAACTTGCGAATAACTTGAATAGTGGCTTCCAAATCTTAAAATTGAGGTGACCGCGAAAAGTTGTGTACAAAGGACATTAGGGATTACTGAAGAATATTTGATCACAAAATCTCTTGTCTAAGAAAGATGTCAATATTTGCTTGGAACTGTGGAAGAGAATACGCACTGAGAAAAAAAATATTCTTAGAATTTAAGTATAACAACACAAGTAATCAAGTAGAGTCTAGTAAAGAGGACTTATGAATTAGATTTTATTGCGTTTTCCTTAAAGTAGGTACAAACTATCAAGGAATAAAGCAAACCTGTTTAATGAGGGTTTCATGTATACTGTGCTAAGAAAGTTTCCTCTAAGGTGTTCAAATCTTTAACATCAAGAAATATTAACCAATAATTTTTCCTCTGTACTATCAGCGCAATATATTTGTGTTTTAAATTTAATTAATCCTGGTTAGAAAGTCTGTCTCACTAGGATCCTCAATAAGTAGAAAAGTGAGAGCCACATTTCTAATATTATAATCAAAACACTCTCACAAAATAATGACGTCAAATCCTGGACATACATTAGTCAGGGCTGGTCCTAGAGTGTGTCCCATGGCCACTCCACACCCACTTGTGTATACCATCAATAAAAGTAAAAGACTAGTTGACTGTTAATTTTTATTACGATCAAAACGTTTTTGCTAGAAATGCGGAACAACTAAAGTTGTATACGAAGAACTAGGGGATGAGCCGCATTAAATTTTTTGATGTCTTGCAAAGCTGAAGGCTGAGACTACCACCAATGTTGAGGCAGACCTGGACGCAATACGTATAATCGCTATGAGAATTACAAACAGTTCAGCACAACACTGTCCGCGAACACTGCTGCAAACCCGACATCGGCAGAGGATTTGGAACCATAAGTGTAAACTACAACGGCATGAGAAGAAGACCGAAGTGGTGAAGAAAAAGGGAGAGGGAAACAACTATAGGTATTTGAGCTTTCCCTCAAGGCAGTTGGGAAGAACAGACACGAACTGTTGTAACCTCCCAAGGGGAAAGAGAAAAGTTAGATGCTAGATGAACATATAAAAGGGGAAACTGAAGAGAAGCCAAGAGCGAGTGAAGACGAAGACAAAAGGAACGAGTAAACAGGGGCGGTGAACAAATAACGGGCCTCTACTGATGTCCGTTACTATCCTGTATGTAGAATCGTGAAGGTCATGAGAGCGGAAAAAATAACTAAGGCAATGGGCATCACGGCGATCGCTTAAAGATGGAACATTCGCCTCTGCATATAGGCTCTCGACAGGTGAGGAGCGAAAAGCATCTAGACCTAAACGTAATCATTGATGATGGATGGGATCAAGTTTAGAAAGAGTTGCGGGAGAAGCTGCAGAATATATCTGCTCGCCAGATAATAGTTTCAATAAAATTAGGGCTGAATGCAATCGAAGGAGAGTTCGACGATCTGTCGCCCCCCTCCCTTCCCCCTCTTCCCATGAAAGATGAGCGAGGATTTTAAGGAGGTTCAGCCGGCGGTGGCAAGATGTTTTCAGGGAGATAATGTGAGGTTGTCAGGACAGCCGGCGATCAAACAGAAGGCCGAGAAATCTGACCGTATGGGAGCCATACAGGTATAATGGAATATCATAGACAACAGAACGTCTAGAGAAAGTAATTTGGAGCGTTTTAGCATCAGACAATTTAAACCCATGGGAAACACTGTTGACAGCATTTTGGAGTGTGGCTGCTACTAGGTGACAGTCAGTGTCTGCAAAAGCTATAGCAAAATCAACTTAAAATGATGACCAAATATTAGATGAAGAACAGAGGCCAGATCATTTACAAAAAGTAGAAAAAGAGTAGTGCTAAGTACACATCCCTGAGGAACACCTTCAGCTTGAACAAAGTCCGGGGAAAGCAAATTATTAACCAGAACACGGAAATGTGTCTCAGATAAGTTATAAAGAAAAAGTGACAGACTGCCTAGAAGGCCTAAAGAATAACTGAGTGATTACTAGCAAAGGCATTACGAACGTAGGTATCTAACCGGAGTAATGGGTCAATAGTGGAGCTGCCCTTGCAAAAGCCAAATTGACTAGTGGAGAAACTATTGTGTGTCTAGATACCACACAAAATGTCAGTTTACTAGACTTTCCATCAACTTGCAAACTACACTGGTAAGAGTAATGGGTCGATAGTCCGAGGCATCATGGCCCGAAGTACCCGGTTTACGAACAGGCAGAACAACGGCAGTTTTCCACTCTCTGGTATCCTTGAAGGAAAGAAACGAGGGACATAGATGGAGCCACAGAGATACAGGCATGATTTCCAATTTCTGTGGCAACTTCAAGAGGGTTGCAGTGCTCACACCAGCAACATTAAGAACGAAGCCGGGTTTGGAGAATACGTGCCACTCAATTTCCGTACATTTTTTCCAAACTGCACTCAGAAGAAACCGAAGTGACGATAAAAACAATTCTGCCAACAAGTGCTCTTAGCTTCACGGATGACATGTCAGGCAACCGTCCTCGCAAACTTATAATCCAGGAGTCGTTTTGTGGTCCTGTTATCCTGTTGTGGTCCTGATATCGGCTCCATGCAACACCTTCCAAACGCACTGCACGAGCACAAGTAGGAGGCCACAAAGGTACGCATTTTTTGAGGGACTGTATTGGAAGCCGCTATTTAAACCGAGTACAACAACAGTTGCAATAGCTCAGCTCCTGAGCTATTACAACTAAAAACAGTGACACTAGTAAATGGCCCAATTCGCCCGTTCAGACTGCCAGCCTGGCTACGAGGAGGTTGAGAATACGCATGAGGATAGAAAAGTCATCGCTGTCATGTAAATCAGGGAGCACAGACCAGATAAAGTCGAGTGCAGTTGAGGAAATTGAGAGATCTATGAAAAAGTGAGTTTGATTGCGAAGGTCAAAACGAGTGGGAGTACCTTTATTTAAAACATGGAGGGGAAGAGAAGCGAGAAGAGCCTCTAACTGATCACCACGAGAGTCACTGAGACCCTCCCCAGAGGAAATGCTGAACATTAAAATCTCCTAGTAAGAGGAGAGGAGGAGGTAGGGAAGAAATCAAAGATGCCACATCAGGAATATATAATGACAGAGAAGGGGAAAGATATAAAGAACAGACTGTATACAACTTGTCCAAGTAGATGCTGGCTGCAGTGTAATGCAGTGGAGTATGAACAAGGACTTGAGAATGTGGTATACCGTGAAGCACGTAAAGTGGACTTTCATTAAAACTCCCATCGGGAAAAGGATCCAATGAATACAAGATATAGCCCGAGACAAGATAGAAAACAGCAATTCTGGTTCTGACGAACACACACACAAACAAGGAAAAACTGGGCGAGCAACACCTGAAGCTCCCCCAGATTACCCCTGAAGCCTCAAGATTTCACTGTAAATAAACATGATCGGCTAACAGAGCATAAATAACATTTTTCAGTTGTCTACGGACCAGGAAGGTCAGTAAAGTCAACATGATCTTCCACAACAATATCAGATGCAGCCTAGACGCAGAGATGGAAAAGAATAACGTAGGGGAATGTCGTGTGGTTTGGGGGTTGAAGGAGATCTGGACTTAAATGAAGCGAGCCCTAAAACAGCATATATATATATAATATATATATATATATATATATATATATATATATATATATATATATATATATATATATATTTATATATATAATATATATATATATATATATTATATTCCTGAAGAGCAATCAGAGATTCGCCGCCTCTTGAAGGCTGGTGAACTAATACAGATGAGTTTTTCACAGTGGCGACAATATTCGGTTTTGATGTTTACTCCTAGGTTCTATCGAGTCATTTATGTTTAAATTCTTTCCTCTTCCCCAGTCTGTCTGTACTCTGCCTCAGGTCGTCCCCTTCCCCACCTACCTCCGATCCTTCCCCGAATTTAAAAACCTTTCCGCTTACTGTATTCGGGATAAACGTCAATAGCCAAATGGTTGACCACCTCTGCACCTGACTAAGCTACCGTCGAGACCTCTTTTCCCTCCTGTTTGTGTTCTCAGTATTTTCACAACGTTTAGAATAGAAGGAAGCCAATTTACACATGCTACGTAAGGTAATGATTTGTGTTCATATGTGTGGTAGCTCATGCATTAATTTGTGTTTTAGCTGAGGCAGTCGTGTGTGAGTTAGCTGAGGCAGTCGTGTGTGAGTTAGCTGAGGCAGTCGTGTGTGAGTTAGCTGAGGCAGTCGCGTGTGAGTTAGCTGAGGCAGTCGCGTGTGAGTTAGCTGAAGCAGTCGTGTGTGAGTTAGCTGAAGCAGTCGTGTGTGAGTTAGCTGAAGCAGTCGTGTGTGAGTTAGCTGAAGCAGTCGTGTGTGAGTTAGCTGAGGCGTTGATTTGTGTTTACAAACTGATTAAACCACTGACGATAATATTTACCCCTGTCTGCTTAGGTACCGAACTCCAGTAATTAATGGGATTATAATGTGCTTGAGGTTAGTGAGATTGGATCCAAGTGTCCTCCTGCCCACACTAGTCAAGGAAAGACACGTTGTGGTATAAGCATTTCTTGGAACAACGTTTCGTTCTGTGTAGAGCCTTACCATGAAACTGCGTGATACAAGTTCTTACAAGAACCAATAAAAGTTTGCTCCGCAGAGTGAGGCTGAGAGACCCCAAGTTAAATATGAATTATTTTAAATCTAGGGCAGGATGGTAGTGGGTGGAGTGAACACAGTAATGAGCCTCTCTCTTTTTCTCCCATGGCAGGGTGGGAGTGGGTGGGCTGGTCGTCGGAGCAGCTTCAAGGAGAGCCTCTCCAGCTCACCTTTACATTCGACACCATGAGGAACTTCTCCAGTCTCACCCTCCACCTCTTCTCCAGTCTCGAGGACGACTTTGTGGTGAGTACTGCACAGAGAAAAGCATAGTGCTGGGAGGGAAGCACTTCATAAAAGTAGACTGGAATATAATACTTCCATAATAGATGCATCTCCCATAAATAAAAAAAAAAAATTGGGGGGGAGGGATAAAAATGTGACATTCAAAAATAAAAATACGATATTTATTAACAATTATTTTAATTTGCTCTCTTAACGGGACAAGACCAGATATAACTAGAGAGTAGCAGCTGACTCAGTGTGGTAATCAGAAATATATATATATATATATATATATATATATATATATATATATATATATATATATATATGTGTGTGTGTGTGTGTGTGTGTGTGTGTGTGTGTGTGTGTGTGTGTGTAAAAATCACGCTGGCCGTCTCCCATCGAGGCAGGGTGACCTAAAAACGAAACACACTCACCATCATTCACATTATCGCTGTCTTACCAGAGGCGCCCAGATACGACAGTTTAGATGTCTCTAAGTAGATAATATCCCAAGCCACTCCTTAAGAGTGCAGGCACTGTGCTTCCCACCTCCAGAACTCATGTCTGCCTAACTATATCCCTGAATTCCTTCACAAAATATTACCCTGCTCACACTCCAGCAGCTCGTCAAGTCCCGAAAAACATTATACACTCCTATCTAACACGCTCACACATGCCTGCTGTATGTCTAAGCCCCTGGCACACAAAACCTCCTTTATCCCCTTCCTTCATCTTTACAAACATTGAGGTGCTGGAAAGCCTGGGGTAAGAACCACATACATCTAACACTGTGATGGCCTCAGCTTGACCATTGAGTTACCTGACATGTTACAGAAACGCTCAACATGGTGATACAATCACATCAAGCAGACAGGCAAGCCAGCTTCATCCCTGCTAGGGCTAGTGTGCCTTGAGTTGGAGACCCTTGAGTAGGGTATGTCACACGTGTTACATGTGACACAACACGTATTGTATCATATGTCACATACAAAACTAGAAGAGATAGTTATGTGTATAATTGTACACAAATAACCTCTCACGTAGAAGAGAGGAGTTTACGACGACGTTTCGGTCCGACTTGGGCCATTTACAAAGTCTCACTCACGGTACAGTGCCTTTTTTGGTATTTGTATAATTGTACTTGGGAAATCCCTGGTTTATAAGTTACCTGTTGTTATACACAATTAAAATCCTGTATTCAACTGTCTCACTAATCCAGAACAAGATGGTGGCAAGTCAGACGTAAACCTGTTAGGAACATCTGATTATTATTTATAGAGTATAGGAGAATAGTAAAGTGTTATTTATTGAGTTTGTTAATTTTCCTTGAAGAGTAACTAGAGATAAGCAGCTGGCTCAGAGTGGGCCAGCTGGCTCTTATATCAGGCAAGTAATGGTATAATTATACACAGTACTGACAGACTGGTGATAGATATTGAACTGTATTGTGAATTAGATGCCTTGATAAATACATGGATTGTGTTATTTGTTGTGCATGTGTGTGTACTCGCCTAGTTGTGGTTGCAGGGGTCGAGTCATAGTTCATGGTGTGTGTGTGTACCCACCTAGTTGTAGTTATAGGGGTCGATTCACAGCTCCTGGCCCCGCCTCTTCACTGGCCGCTACTCAGCCACTCTTTCCGCTCTATGAGCTTTATCATACCTCTGCTTAAAGCTATGTATTGATCCTGGCTCCACTACATCACTACCCAGACTATTCCACTTCCTGACAACTGTGTGTGTGTGTGTGTGTGTGTGTGTGTGTGTGTGTGTGTGTGTGTGTGTGTGTGTGTGTGTGTGTGTGAGAGAGAGAGAGAGAGAGAGAGAGAGAGAGAGAGAGAGAGAGAATGTTTTCCATAACCTATATAGATCCGGGAAGGAATCATTTTAACTGATGACTAACTTATGTTCTAACCACAACAACTTCCTGAAATATATATATACAATTTTCACTTGTCCTATATGGCAAGATGAACGTTGCTATTTAAGCCAAGATCGCAAGTTCTGCCTATTCGGCACGATGTATATATATATATATATATATATATATATATATATATATATATATATATATATATATATATATACATCGTGCCGAATAGGCAGAACTTGCGATCTTGGCTTAAATAGCAACGTTCATCTTGCCATATAGGACAAGTGAAAATTTGTGTATGCAATAATTTCGCCAAAATCATTCTGAACCTAACGAAAAAAATATATTTCACTGTGTTTGTTTAGTATTAAATTATTGTAAACATATCTAAAATATATTTAGTTAGGTTAGGCTTAAATAAATTACTCTTGTTATAACAAGGTTAGGTAAGATTTTAAAGATTCTTTTGGTGCAAAATTAAAAAATTTTATATTAACATTAATGAAAAAAATATATCTTTAAACGTATAAGAAAAAAATTTACATATTCGGCACGACATATATATATATATATATATATATATATATATATATATATATATATATATATATATATATATATATATATATATATATATATATATATATACACACACACACATTTAATAATTTCAGAAAGGACTTAATTTTAAACGAGTTTTTGCTAATTGACCAATTTTACCTTTTCGGCACTACATTATATATATAATGAATATCCCTTTAATGAATCCAGCTTCGACACAAATTTTGTATACCCAGCCACACTGATGTCTTGTACTGGTAGTAGTTGTGTATCAACAATATTTTATACAGTCAAGATGAATTAGACATATGCAACATCTGGGTATTTTTTCTCTTAGACATTTCTCTTAACTCCTGGTCATAACCATGTGTATGATCTACTTCCACTGGGGAATCCCGTCTGCCTTCGTCTGCTGCACTTCATCTGACTCCAGTATATAAGCAACAATCTTCCTGCCTGTGCATCAGATGCTAGACTACAGTGTTCATCACCTGCTCTTTGGCTGACTAATTATCTCACCTTTCACTATCTGTTGTATATATTTCTAGTGTTCATATTGATAAAACCACTGGATGGCGAAACATCTACAAGATGGCTAGATGTAGTACACGAGTACAAGTAGTGGATATTCATCAGACTTAGTGAAAGTAGTGAACTTAAGTCTGTGTACACGTGGTTAGTACCATCTCTTTTTGGAACGAGGATGTTGGATTAAGTCTACGAAATACAGATCTCTTCAATATGATCTTTTGGAGTACGAATGCTCCTCAACCTGCAAAGTCTGTATTTTAACTGTTATGGCACGACAGAGGCTGCTGTCTGAGAGAAACAGTATTGTGTACATCCTCATAGTGAAAATCACCGTGCATAATAAACACATTCAAAAATACACCGAAAGTTATTCATTCATTTTAAAACTTGGTCTGCTTTCTTTGTTTTATTTTTATTAACACATCGGCCGTTTCCCACCAAGGCAGGGTGACCCGAAAAAGAAAAACTTTCATCATTCACTCCATCAGTGTCTTGCCAGAGGGGTGCTTACACTACAGTTATAAACCTGCAACATTAACACCCCTCCTTCAGAGTGCCGGCACTGTACTTCCCATCTCCAGGACTCAAGTCCGGCCTGCCGGTTTCCCTGAACCCCTTCATAAATGTTACTTTGCTCACACTCCAACAGCACGTCACGTATTAAAAACCATTTGTCTCCATTCACTATCAAATACGCTCACGCATGCTTACTGGAAGTCCAAGCTCCTCGCACACAAAACCACCTTTACCCCCCTCCCAGGTCATCATATTCCGGGCATACTGGGTTCGTGCCTGACTCGCTTGTTGGTGTATACCACTGATACATATACTTTCAGTATATACTTTGAGGTCTTCTGTCAGCGGTGAGTTCCAGTATTTCAAGTCACTTAGGCAAACGTCCTGTGATTTTTCCTCCAGCGTATTATCTTAGTTCTTGCTGCACCGCGACCAAATCGCCCACAGGAAAAGATCGCGGCAAATTATGGATAAAATCGTACCATTGAATTCAGATTAAACAAAGGCAGAATGGAACTTAAGTTGCGGATGATTGGAAGAATGTCGAGTCATGTTTTATGTAACCAAAAATTAGTTATAGATGAATGGTTCAGAGAACCGACATGTTGATAAATTAGATACATGTGCAACTCTTGGGTGTCTTTATTGAGGAAACGTTTCGCCACACAGTGGCTTCATCAGTCCATACAAAGGAGAAACTTGAAGAACAGGAGGAGAATGAGGTAATCAGTCCCTCAGCCTTGAGTCGATGTGGTCAGTCCATCAATCTTGAATAGAATAAGGCATATGAGCGGAGAAGCAGCTTATAAACCGTAGACAGGTGAGGTGCAGCAGTTGTAGGTGGTGTCATATTTGTCCAATGTGGAAGTAGGTCGTGCCCAAGGGCTAGGCAAGTGAAGAATTCCCAAGTATTAAGATCCAAAGAAGTTGCAGTGTCTGACAGGATTGTAGATGAATGGTTCAGAGAACCGACATGTTGTTAAGATACCCAAGAGTTGCACATGTGTCTAATTCAACAAAAATTAGTTAAGATAAAATTTAATTTAAGCTCCTCTTTAAAATAGTTACGAATAAATAAGACCTACCTTAACTAAGCTCGAACGACTAATGTAACTTTTATTTAGACATCTGTTCCCACGAGTCAGAAAATAGGGATAGGAAGGATGAGGGATGTGAAGACATAAGAGGAGCATTAGAAAGGCTAGTTGGCTAAGAGATAGGGAGAGAAAGAAGAGAGAAATAATGAATATAACGTATATGGCTTTCACAAGGATTAAGATGAGAGAATAATCACCGGGCTTAAGGCTATAAGAGCAAGTTAAATTAAGTCATCTATATCAGGAGGAGGTCGTGGAAGACTGTGCCAGCGCTGCCGCCCACCAGGTGTATCCAGAGTAATTAAGCTAATCACCTAATTAATATGCCAGTAAGACAAGGAGGCATATTGACGACATTTAAATTTCATTATCAATATGTTAGTGCCATGGTTTTTATATAAACTATATACATGAGTACGTGAGTATGTGTACGCATGAGTA